ACAGTGACTCCTGTTGTTGACTTTACAAATTAACACTCCTGTTTATGGCATCAGTAATCTCCCTATGCACCAGTCATGAGTTTCCAAGGCTATGGAAGCCCCTTGAGTTCTCCGACTCTTATCTTGTTCAGACAAGGTCATAGTCAAAGTGGAGGTTCTCTCCTCCCTTCAGAGAAAGGTACCTCCTTCTTTGAAGACCTGTTCTTTCCACTGGGATCTCACTCACAGAGATCTTTCATTTAGGTTTGTTGTTGTTGTTGTTGTTTTGTTTGGGTTTTTTTGTTTTGTTTTGTTTTGTTTTTTTTTTTGCCAGAGTGTCTTGGCTTTCCATGCCTGAAATACTCTCATGGGCTTTTCAGCCAGATCCGAATGCCTTTAGGGCTGATTCTGAGGCCAGAGTGCTGTTTAGGACATCCGCCATTCTATGAGTCTGCTGAGTATCTCGCTTCCCATGTTGGATCACTCTCCCCTTTATTTATTCTATCGGTTAGTATTAGCAGGTACTAGACTTGTTTATGTGCTCCCTTTGACTCTTAGTCCTTTCATTATGATCAATTGTGAACTGAAATTGATCACTTGGACTAGTGAGATGGCATTGGTACATGCCACCTTGATGGGATTAAATTGCTTTTGCATTTGATTTTGGAAGCCAATGAGATAAAGCATCCAGGTGTCTGGAGTGTTTATACTGGGCACAAGAGGTGATCCTAGAAGTGGCACCATCAATTTCCCAAGAGCAGCTGCAGCATCCAGTGTCAGCCCCACAGCTGAGGCAGTAGAGTGGGTGTGTCCAGGCACTGCCATGGGGTTTATGTGTGCTCTCAGTCTGGCTTAGTCCATGAAAGTTATTCTGATGCCTCCCAACTCTCTTTGTTCCTACCCTTTCTCCAGATCTCACTCAAAAGCCTACCTAACAGTTCTGTGAGCCAGCTAGCATCTTTCCAGTGCATTCCTGGAATGCACTGTGCATTACATCCAGTGCATTAGATCAATCAGAATGAGTTTCTCTGGCTTGAAACTATGACCACCTATTTATTATTCCTTTCCTGCAAAACCAAAATGAAATTGGCTGTACACAGGACCCAGGAAGTGCTACATCAAGGTTAATTAGGTCTTCCCAGGATTCCTCAATTATATATGGCCACAAAATCTCCTTTTCTCTTGGCATTATATTTTTCCTAAACTGTGTTCCAGAAAGCAGCATTGAAAACACTTACTCCCAATTTTGCAGATGAGGAAATAAAGCCTCAGAGTTTTTAATTAAGTTACTCACGGTAATACAGCTAATATCTGCCAGATCCAGGATTCAAACCCTTACCCAGTTCTAAGCTACTCCATCACACCTCTCCCTTGAAATTACATGTGGAATAATAATTAAAATTGCAAATGAAGTAGCTCTAAATATTTTAGAACACCACAATTCTTATTTTATTTTTAGGGATTCATAACAATTATTGAATCTTGATGTGTGTTTATAAGACACAGACTTTTCCAATATGATAGCACTCCAGAGACAATGATAAATGGAAAAAAAGAGACCCATTTTGAGATGATCATCACATACTTTCTATAAATAAAGA